CCCAAAGTGAAAAGGGGGGACAACCGAACATTGAATAACACAGCGAAGGGATTCAAATCGCAAGAAAAAAAACACAGTTTTCTAATTAGATGTATGATCGCCACTGCAGCACAGTTTGCTTCATCACCTATTTCATACTCTTTGACTCTTAAGTGATCATTGTTTACTAAATGGAGATGATGTTGTTCTGAAGACAACTGAGACAATATGCAAATGTCTCCTTGCGTAATCAATCATTTCTCATAGACGTCCATACAATCTGACATATCTTTGCATCTTTGCCACGTGCTGGCAATTAGAATTCCGGTTTAACCCACTACAGCATTGGCTTCACTTTTCAGACCTGGCGGTTGCTGTGCGATCCGGCGAGATATTTATTGTTCAGATATGGGAATGGTATTGTTGTTCTCATCTAACTCTTGACCATATCAATACCATGGGAATGGTATTGTCAGAAAACTCATCAAATGTATATCCAGAAGTGTCAAGCTATTTTAAACAAGCTATTTTTAGTCCTTTAGTAGTCGAATAAATTGAATAAATGACCAATTATTCCCATTTAAAAGAAAATAATTCATAGATATAATGCTTTCATTTAAGTAATGGAGAAACTTACTGGGCAGGAATAGACCTGTTGGTTAAATATTAGGTCAAAGTAAGGAGGCATGGAGCATCAGACCGCACAAAGCAGCTAATCTGTTTTGATGTCAGAGCGCTTCCCATTGGTCTGTGCCTTGTGTGGTGCTATTGTCCTTGGATGATAGCTAGACCTCCCAGATAACTCATTTTAAAGATTCCAATACAGACTCATTGAATGTGTGAAACGATTTGTCCTACATGTGTATCTAAACACACAGGGGCTCCATGATGTAATCCAGTTTTTACCTCTCCCAGGAGTCCTAGCAGCACAGCGTAAACTCTGTCCTAGTTCAGTACCTCCCAGAAGGTTGGTGTGAAGAGGAAAAATGACGCATACTAAGTATGAATCACACATGACCCACCTAAAGGACATATTTTCATAATCAGACCCAGTCCTCTGCTGAGTTAAATCACCATTTAAACTTGGGTAGCTGGATTATTTGTTCAAAGTTGGCCACTGCACTTTACAGTGACGGCCAAAAAAAGACCCCGGACAGCCAGCCTGGTTGAACAGAGCTGTATTGAGCATTTCAAAATAAGTCGGCCGTTTCCTCCCCGGCCCGATGACTCGGTTTGTGATTTTTTTCAATTACAGAGTTTACCTTTCACATGATTTCAACACTGATGTGAAATTAACTCAACAGTTCCCCAACACACACATTACATTGTGTCCAACACAACCGCAATTTTAACGACACAGTAATACATATGGGCAGACACACACACACACACTATGTGGCATGGATTTGTTTACCCAGCTCGGTCAAGACCAGCGTACGGTCCTGGTCCCCTTCCCCATTTGATGTGTGAAAAGTGGAAGGAAATCAAAGCCATTTCCTCCATTCTGTGGGTTGTGGTTCCCTGGAGTGGGAGAGGGGGGGGGCGCCAGACTGGCAGTAAAGTGTCGTTGAGGCCGCAGAGTCTGGGAAGTCTGTGCAGCGGCATGTGGTGCCAAAAACAACAGAGGAAACTGTTGCTCAAAGGCACCAACCGCAGGTAGAGGAAAAGGGATTCAAGCATAGCTTCCCTAAGTGTGACCAGAAAGCCTGTTCTCTCCCTCTTACCTAACTTGTTCAATTGCTTGTTTAACTGAGTCACTAAACCACTCACATTCAGTCCCTCACCTCAGGAGATGAGAAAAGTTTTGTTCTCTAAACTCTTGAATTGTTGAACAAGTTTTACATTGTGGAGAGTTTCCCTGTGATAACTAGACGTGATGCTTTTCTTTTCTCATTTAAATGCTAATAACTTTGAGGACATCCTCACGGAGTGTGTTCGGAGCGAAGCTTTGCTGCTATCTGGTCACAGCACAAGGTGAGGACCCGCCGGCTCAATTTGAAGTACTACTGAGTCCTGTTGTTGGCGCAACAATGCAGTCCGAGCTTCATCTGAAGGCTTTTCGCCGCTACTCATGCACGTTTGTGCGTGAGAGAGTATCCGCAGACATAATGCTATCAGCAATCAGATTTGGATGCAGATGGCAATGAGGTAGTTGTTGCCAATGTGAAAACAAAGAGAGAATTCTGATTACATTAAATTCACTTCTTTTGAAATAGGATATAGAGGTCATTGCTACAAACAACGGCTCACGATGTGATCCAGAAGGCATTACTTTGTGGGGGCATTGAAATGGCACGAGTTTAAAGGGACGAGTACTTACTTTTCAATGAGTAATCTGTATTGAGTAATTGACTTGCTTACTGGTCGTGACACAAATCTCAACAGGGCTAAGAAGATTGGATGATGAAAAAGTTGGGAAAAAGTGCTGCATCTCATCACCGCATTTATCACCCCGACAGTTGAAGACAGAAGCAGAACTTTGCACGCTTCAACACAAAGCAGGATCGAGAAGCAGCCTCCACGCACCGGAGAGTCCCATCTCTCCACACACATTCAAAGTGGGATTGCGTTACGGATAATCTTTGGAGCTGTGCAAGAATCACAAATTCTGACACAACACCTGGCATCTGTTCATGCCCTGCAGACAGAGCCCCACAGAAAGCACTGTTCACACCTCAGCTGGAATGCAGGCTCTTCTGCGGAGCATTAAAACCACATCCTTCACCGGTTGGAGCAGCTTGGAATTGTGCACTGGCAAGATTTTATCACAAATATTACAGTTGAGCTCCACTTAGGTCCTTGTGGGTAATGACAACTCACCTTGCAGTCCCATCGAGCAGAAAAGATCGAGCGTAGGCAATCAGGGCTGACAGCTGCCTTTGTGTTACTTTCATTAAACCGGAGCAGATGAGTGATGTGTAGCTTTGCAAAAGCTGAAGGGGTCGCTTCTTGCCAAATTTGCCGTGTCCTTTCTGAATAGATAACTTGTCCAGAAGAGGAAGTCTGCTTGGACACATCAAACTGATACTCTCCTATTTGACCTCTGCCAAGTCCCTTTAAAAACCGAACTGTCGTGCGGGACCACATTGCAGAGTGAAAGCTGCGGTTCCATCGCTGTGACTTGGAAGGAAAGTTGAGCAGGACAACAAGCCAAACACCTCGTAGACTTTCCCTCCAACTCCCAGACGGGCTTCACGGTGAATCGGGCGCTTGGCCATTTAGAGCTCCAGACTGGTTGAGAGGCAGACAATGCAGGTGGGAAAGGACGCTGAATGGAATGTGATTAAACACGTAGAAATATGTTTAATTTTCTCAATGCTCTTTAGAAAATCTTCACCGGCGGCTTTGAAGCGGCCAATCAGTGTTTGAATAGGAGAGCAAATTAAGCATTTTAATCGACTTTTCCCTGTGGCATTAAAAAGAATGACACTGTCTGACATTTTTTTTCAAATCAATGGGTACATAGCCAAGATAAGACTTTTCATTTTTGATAAGGTGGAGCCAGTCATCGTTACATTGTCTGTGCTCTGAGTGGCCAAAAGGGACCAAAGAGGTCAAATACCCACTGGAGAAAATGAATGTAACGTTGTAATAAACTTGTTTCGATGAAACTTTTAATGTTATGTTATCATTTGTATGATACACACTTTTGAAAGTCTGGTAGTTAAAAGTGAACTTGTTGTTTGAGAGGAAAATACTCTCTCTTTAAGCCAAACCCTGCACCTCATGTGTGGGTGGCAGATGGTGGCTCGCTGGTTGTCACAGAAGATGGAAGATGGAAATACAGGCGACTGATTCGAAGCAAGGAATCGCCCGCTTTGTGAAAGACACACTATAGTAGCAGCTGCAGAAGGGATAGACCCGTATGTGCATCACACAGCAACTGTTTTTTCTCATATCACTTTTGAAGCATAAACTGATCATTTATATACACAACAATAATAAGGCAGATAACTGATGTTATATGTGATATACGTGTGAACTTATTCCCATATAAGTTAACACCCATGACCCATTCAATCCGCTAGATCTGTTCTTAAATCACCATTAGCTGAATTACCATGTGTAATTCGTCGTGGCGCAGGGGGTAGAGAGGGTGCGCTGAGAACCACAAGGTTGGTGGTTTGAATCCCGGCTGCCCCATGTCCCTGACACATAACCCCTAAGTGCTCCCCGGGAAAAATGTAAGAGCCGTGGGTTAGAAATGTAATGTAAGTCGCTTTGGACAAAAGCGTCAGCTAAATGACCTGTAATGTAATTTAATGTAATGTAATTTGCATGATGATCACCTGTTTCAGACTCTTTCAGATGAAGCCATGATGATGTCATCATCATCAGATTTGAGAAGGAGTCCGACCAGTTCCTCAAACCAGTCATTAAGTATGAAAGCATTCACATTTTTTTATATTTCCATCTGGGAAGTGAATTATGTAACGTCCTCCTCAGTTTGCCTTTTAAATCAGAATTTAGACAAAGTCCTGTTGTAAAACTACTGCTTCTGTCCAGCAAACCTCATTAACAACCTGAATCTGAAGATGGGATTTAAAAATGTACTCATTTGCGTATTATTTATCATAAGTCGACATTTTTATTAGGATTGGCACTCACAATAATAATGTTTGTTTTTCTTATTTCACGAACACTATAATTCAGTTATAATTCAGGATTGTTTTGTGGAATTGTGGAAATTTCCTTGGTTAGAGAATTAGACCTTATTTCATGAAGACGGCTGCAGATACAATGATGTAATAATTAGATATTACATTTATAACTGCACCATTGCCAAATACCAATGAGGTTTTCACCTACTAAGATCTAAAAAAAGAAAAGAAAATGTCTCCTAAACAAACAAAGGACGCGGTGTAGAAAGTCGTCCCAACATTCTGCGACCATTGATGCAACAGCAGACATCCTCCGGTGCGCGGATGTGCTTCTCCTCCTTGAATCGCGTCTCCTCCCGGCGGGCTGATGGGCGGCTCGGCTCGCCGCTGCCCGCCCCCTGGGTGTGTTTAAGGGAACGGGCCCGTGCATCCACCTGCTCGCGCGCTGCCTCCTCCGCGCAGTCAGCGGCGGCCAACTTTCCAGAGGAGCACGCGCCGCGCGCCTGGACGGGGACTTTGTTTCTAACAGCTTTTCTTTTTTCATTCCCACCGTCACGAGATGTTGATTGTGCTCGTGCGACGACGATATAACCTCGCCTCGCGGTGTCGCGCACGACAGAGAAAGCGTTCTCTCTCTCTTTCTCTGTGAATTGTGTCATTGTGCCCTGACAAAGTCCGGGGCCACGCAGCGCGCACAGGTACAGCGCGCGCCCCCGAGCTCGGGCGCAGCGGCGGCGGGATTTTCTGTTCTTATTATTGATTTCAACTTGGAGAGCAAAGTGAGCGATCCTTTGGGATCGGTTCTGTTTTGACTTGGTTGGATCTGAAGTTATATTCCGGGAGCTGTAAAAACAAGGTAAGCCTGCTTGTGCTGCTGTTTGCGTATCATTTCCTATTTATTCCTATTGAAGCTTTACCGATAGATATAAACAATCCTATATATATATATATATATATATATATATATAATATGATTTGCAGCATGCTGCAGTTGCTGTTTTCTCTGATGAAAATGTGAACAGAAGTGGCTAATGAACCGGTTTGATGGATCCCAGCCTTGATTCTTACATGAATCCTTGTTACTATTGAATTGCTCAGTTTACAGCGCGCTGTAATACCACAACAGATTGTGTCCAAGACACATCACAGTCTACATCATTCAGCAACATTCTGGGATACAAAGATTTTTTTTATTCTGTCCTATTGTTGTGATTTATGGTACATGATCTGTGTTTTTGTAAGCTAATATTTATTGTGCTGCGTATTAACTTGTGGTCTTTCACTAGAAGTTAAGTAGTGATGACCAATAACATTTAGATGGATTAGTGGAGGGTTTGCGCTGGTGTGAAGCAGTTTGGACTACTGTGATGTAATGATTCTTTTGCCAAATTCAATTTTAGATTCATTTTAACGGCTCAAAATGACGGGGACATGTTTAATGTGAGTGGACTCAGTGTCTCTCCGTCTCTCAGTGTTTGATTTCATATGCACGTGTCAATGGCTTGGCCTCTGTCTCAGAATAAACAGCTGGATGGTTAACAAATTGTCAGTAAACAGCCACGGTTTAAACAGCTGGCTGATGCTCATCAATCCGCCTCAGCCGACCAGTCTGAGGACTCTGGGTTCTGTTCACGTCTCCAAAAGGTGTGCTTGGGATGGAGACCCGTTTCCAATTGTTCTGGATTTGTTTTTAGAACATGCTGAGAACAGCGTTGTGTCCAATCGGTGAGGTCAGCTCGCTACTTTTGGGGGAATAGAATTTATCAAAAAAATATAATTGTGGCAACATGGTGGAGATGATTAAAGGGACCAGGAGTGGATTTGAGGGAGGGGGGGGGCTGTTAAGTCTTTTGGGAAGATTTGTGTGGATCATTGTGGCTGCTCCCTCGCGTCTATCATTCATTAACTGGGGACCTCATTGATGACCCCCGCTGCATTGTTTGGCTCCAACGATAACAGTTTAACAAGTCTTCCAGTCATCATTTGTAACCACCTTTAGCAGTGAAGTTAATATTTTATTTTAGAATGTATGGAACTTTCCTCTTGCCCCGTCTCTAGTAAGTATGAGGTCGCTGTTAGGTGATCATCACACACGTATGACGTAGGAGGTGGAGAGGAGCAGAAAAAGAAACGCTTCTCTTACTGGAGTCAGCGTGCCCTTTCCATCACTTTGTCTCACTCAAACTGAAAAAAGAAAAGGAGCATAATTATTCCCAAATGGAAGTACGTGCACATCTCTCAAAGCTTGGCCCGTCGCCAATTGTTTTTTTTGTGAAGCTCCCAGAAATCTGGGTGTAATCCCCGCACCTCAGTGCTGAATCACCAGAACTCAGAGGGATCATGGGGCCCCTGGGAGCCATGTATTTGACAGGTCACATAAATAAATAAACAACACATCGTTGCAAATCCTTTTTCTGTTTTTTGTAGCTTAGAGTTGAGAACACATCTTCTCTTCTCACGTGTTTCTTTTTGTCCCTGCAGAGATTTAAAGAAATAAAAGAAACTATTAACCGCTCTTGGCGTGCCGCTGGAGGTTGCTCGACCATGCAGCTGGACGGTCTGTGGACGGTCCATGTCCTCCTGGCACTGTCCGGCCTCGCTCTCGGGAACCAATTGAGCGTTGACCCGTTGGCCGCGCCTCGCGTCTTCATCTCCTTCAAAGGTAGGAACCCGAGCCTGCTCTCTTATTCCCACCTGCTCCGACGCTTGTAATCCTGGGCCCGTTAATGAAACTCTGCTGTGCGTTTGCCCGTCATGTTACTTCAGACTTGTGGCTTTGGTGCTGAGACTTTTTTCTTGCAGAGGAGGAACTCGCAGCATCACCAGGCTCTCGCCGCAAACAAATCACGCAATTCCCATTTTCTGCCCCTTTCCTGATGCCTCCAGGCAGCGTAATAACCACCAGATGCTTCCAGCTTATATTGTACAAACAATAAAAAAATGCAAACAGCGTTCGCACATATTGAAGTTATCTTGTTCGCACTCCATTTGAAACAATGTACATGATTATTGTTTTTGTCGATCAAAAGCGGCGTCTTTATCTTCAATCATCTTTATTGTGGATCCCTAAATTGGAGCCACAAAGGGAAGAGGGATAATAAGGACTGTGTAATAACTCTGTCGTCTATTATGTGATTATTCCCCCATGCGAAGGCAGACGTGTGTTCTAGTGGCTTGTGTTTGTGCGTTCCGATAGCCGCACAGATTGCGAGAGACGAGTTGCTGGGCTTCCAGGGAGGTGGGGGGCACAGAGTGAGAGGGCCGTATTATCCAGAGCAAATTGCCAGGATCAGCCAAGCAGAGCGCCGTCCCCGAGGCCTGTCCTGCTCGGAGATCAGGCCTTTTTGATCATCCAGAGAGAAGTCGAGGGCGGGCAGGCAGGAGACCAGCAGCGCCCCTGTTTGGGTTGCTTTCCATCTCCCGCTGCTCCCCAGTGCAAGTTGACTTAATTAAGAGGACTGGCACCGTTCATTGTCCAAGGCGTTTTCCTGCTTTAATCAAGTGGGATTTAACACATCAGTGAACCCACATCCACAGCTCAGCAGTTTCTTTTTCATTTTTTCATCTTCCAAACATTTTTCTTCGCCAGTCCTCTACAGAAACGCTGTGTTGTGTTCACAGAGCGCTGCTGTTTCATTTTCTGTGAGCAGGAGATTCTCTGAGAGCTGCTTTTGCATTGCTGCATCTTTTGGATGGCTGAACTCACCAGAAATATATCTGAAAGCAGCAGACTTCAGCCGCTGTTCTTTGGCTGACAAGTAAAGTGGGGAAAAAAGAGATCGGCTCTCCTGCTTACCTGTGTGTGTGTGTGTGTGTGTGTGTTTGCCTCTCCAGTCAATATGAATTTCACAGTCTAGTGCTGCTGCCTCTCAGAGGAATTCACCCCCCTTCTCCATTCAATATTATGACTCTCCTTCCCTTAATTGCTTTTTGAGAGGCCCGTGTAGTCCTTACGTTGGCAAGCCTGCTGCACTTCCCCTGATGCACCATGATGTGTTACGTTTTTGCTTGAGCTGTTTTGGATTGCGGATCGTCTCCGAGCAGCAACTTCAGCGGAACTCAGGTTTGACGAAAAACACATTTTTTTTTAATAAGGAAAATGATGAATAAATGGACTCATGGACCATCATGGCAGCAAGTTACGCTGGGAAGGAAAAACAAAATTGCTGCCATAAAGCCAAACGTTTCTCTCAGCGTCGAGCTCAACACGCTCCGAACTGACTAACTCGGTAGCAGAGGAGTGAGGTTGAGAACCTGCATCTGGGAGGCCCTCACTTCCCTTTTAAAGCCAGAAGAGTAAATCATGGGACCTAATTGCTTTACTTTGGCTTCATGCAGAGTGCACAGGTTTTATGGCGGGAGAACAGTACCTTCTGTGATAATGTTCCAAAGTGTTCAGAGGATGTGAGGGGAAAATACGTATACACATTTCAATAAGATTAGAGTTGGGAGAGTCTGAGGGATGAACCGTGGAAGTAGACTTGGTTCGGGCTTATCACATTTTCCAGTAAGCTGAGTTTGCTAAAGAAGAAATATCTTTATTCTGACAGCAAAGACATTAGATGAATAAATGTCTCCTCTGACTATTGATGGAATGAGGAGAGGGAGCAAAGCAAATCCGCCGTAGATAATAAGTTGATATTTTAAGTTTCGTTGAGACAAGACGGCTGTCGCCAAACCCCCCCAGTAGAGGAGTCGTATCAAATGGTCGAGCTGGAACTGCTGGGAATCTGCTTTCTTGGAATCAAGTCCACAACCATGACAACTTTCTCTTTCTTGAACGTATTCAATGTCCCTATGAACTAAAGATGCATTGTATTATTTACAAACCCGCTAATTATTTAAACCAAAAACAGTTCAAATACTTTTCCGTCTCTGACTGCAGGAGGGAAGCTGTGGAAAAAAATAAAGACTTGAATTAACATGTAAAATGGTTGTTTGAGAGCATTGCCTCTCCGTGAGGCTCCTACAGCCTAGTTTATGCTTCTGCGTTTTCAGAGCGACGGAGACGCAAGCCCCCCTTGCGTGTCCCTTGCGTGTCCCTTGCGTGTCCCTTGCGTCGCTTTTCACACCTCCTTGCGTGCGTCGAAAGCGACGCAGCCTCCCGCAGAGCACCAGGCTGCGATTGGTCCGCTGACTACGTCCTTTACGGAGTCTCACATTTCCGCTTTCATAGCCCGATACCGGCATTATTAAAACGAAGAATGTTTATGACCGAACGGATCAGATGCGTAAATAGGATCGCTTCTACAAGCCGTCATTGGCGGGTTTAGAAGCGGGTTGGATTCACGGAGGGAGATCGCTGCAAACGCCGGTTTGCCGGTCGAGAGGAACAAAGTTGTGGAGGAAAATACGGGACAAATGTGTCGGCGATGAAAAGCAGCAGTGTGGATGCACGAGGCAATAAAGTCTATGATAAATAAATAAACAAATAAATAAATAGACGTGACTCTCTAGGTCGTCTTCAACAAAACACGTCACTCCGCCTGTTGTTCTGGAGGTGAATCGCTCTGCAACACATTAAGAAAATCCCAATCTAAATCCACGCTTATGGCTCTGCTATTTCCGGCCCAATACCACACACAACCCTCTGCCTCATCTGGGACCCCAATCCCTCACAAAGCACAATCTTACTACAGTCCATTTAAAATCAAATCAAGTCGCTGCCCCAGCTTGATGTGCAATTGTTTACATGGACGGGCCAGCTTGAAACTGGAGGCCTCTGGTGACGTGTTGGAGCTCTTTAAACATCTCAGCCTGCTTTGATAAACACACAGCAGGTAAACATTGGTTCAGAATACAGAGGCACACCGTCAAGAATCCCCACCACTGTACATTTTCACTTTCACAAGCCACGCAGACGTCATCTATGGCTGAGGGCGGAGCCACAAAGGCTGTGTGAAAATGAACACAGTGCCCCCGTCGCCCTTTACTCACTCGGTGTTAATAATATTTGAAACGGCTGCTTTGACAACTACGGCAATGGAATTATGTTCTGTCAGTACAAAGGAAGGCTCCTTTAAATGCCACAACATCATACGGATTACAGCTCGCTCCCGCCCCTCCTCCCCACTACGTATTGGGCCAAATCCACTCCGACGACCCCAGAATGTGGGTCAACTTTGCCATGATACCACACAAGCTCTGGAGAAAGGAAAAGCAGCTCTGGGCCGACATTATTCCAGATATTTCTCATATACACACCCTCCTAACTAACAGCAGTCTCCTATTTTTACTCCTCAGCAAAGTCTTTAGTCTATATCGGGGGTGTGCGTTTGTGGTGGGTGGCAGGCTAGAGGGTCAGAAGCTCTCCGTGGGGTTAAATGCCAGACATTCTGTTATGTGTTCGCCCTTGTTATAGAGCACTTCTGGGTTTTTTCACTTTCACTGCCAAGGAATAACAACAGACGAGGTTTAACTCTGAGCTACAAATCCGCTTAGAAGTGAAGTAGTTGTTTTGAGTAGTCAACAGTTCGCTATCAGTTCATCTCTGGGCTTGGCCCATCTCGGCCGTCCTGTCACTTATGCGAGTAAATGTTTAATCTGTTATTACCGTCGTTCACTCAATACATTCCAATGGCCACTCTCTTCTCGGCGCTCCACAGGTACACATCAGTGGTAAGAGGGCTCTTACAGCGCTGACCTGATTGACTGGTTGGTTCACTAAATATTGCCTGAGCAACTACTACATGGTTTCCTTCTTTTGCATCCAGTTCAATTTAGCAGGTCTATAAATGCAACGCAATCATCACCGATAACTTTCACCGTCTAATTTGCAGAATACCTCAAGCTTACCCTCACCCTGACTTTATTACTGCTGGCCAACCACAAGTAGAAGCCGTGAAACCACTGCTCCTGTAGTCTGGTACCAGCGTTGATGTTCAACTGTGATCTCTGATTACTGTTTGGGAAGTCTGAGTCCACATATCCCCACGGCAGCAAAGTAATGACTGACAAAGCTTTGAAAACCTCTATTGCCCTGGCCAGGTCCCAGACCTCAGCTTCCCTCCTCCGCAGCTAAGCCAGGTTATATTTAGTGTAAAACTCTCCTCTCCCTCAGCAGGCACACAGTTGTCATTAGCAGCACCGTGGTTAACCATTGAACACAACCGGCAGGGTGGTGAAGGCGGCTTGGTCCTGCACAACTTCTGATCCAGCTGTCATGAGTGTCACTTCATTGGTAAACTCTGACTGGCTGGGAGCCATCCGTAATTGTGTAAAACATTTGAAATATGCCAGCGAAGCTAAAGGACGCTGCAGGGTTTGGTCTGAGATCCAGGAACAGTGTTGATCCTTCACTGTTGTGCACATGACTTAAGACCACAGCACCACTCCAAACTATGAGGGAGGGAAGTTGTGTCACATGCGAATCAGTGTGTAGCAATGTCCGACTCATGCTGCGTGCCTTCATTTACGTTATTTAATGACTGTAGCCCTGAGCGCATTGGTGTTTATCTCAAACTGTCAACTCATTGCATTTGAATCAAAATCATAAAACTATCATGCTAAAATAATTGTTGGTCCAAATCGTCCAAACTCAGTTCATGGATCAGGGTGTACTCAGATAGACAAGGTTAAATGTTTACATTATTTTCTGATTGAGGTTGACTGGTCAGGAATCAGAGATTGATTAGCTATTAACCTTTAAGTGCTTTTATATAA